AGATTCAATATCGCTATTGCCCCTTGAATATTGTGATACTACAGCACACTATCAAAAAGCCTTTTATACCAACATTCCACCCACACCCATCTGTTTAAGAAGCAAACAAAACAAAAAACAGACTGAAGAATAATGAGGATCATTACCTCTTTATACAAATAAACATTCATCAAAAAATCCTCTTTGTTCAGTAATAAACTATGTGTCTGTTCTTGTTTTCTTTTTTTCTTGCATGTGGTTTTAAAAGTATTCAAGGAATGGCAACAGACAGCAGTCTGGTTAATACATTAGTAGATTTGTAAAGAAATCCTTTGAGTTTGTTGCAACCTTCGGAAGGGATACCTACTCCTCGGCAGTGTATGTTTTTTTGTTTTGTTTTGTTTTTGTTTTCCCCTGTGTGTATGTGCATGTGTGTTTGTTTCGCTTTTTTGTTGACTGGTAAGCCAAATTGGATTTCTACATGAAAGCTGCATCCGGGTGGGCTGTGTTGCGGCACGTGAGAGGGAGAGAGCGGGTGAGATGCGTGAGCTCGTGGTCGCTACAATCCACAAAAGTTGCGAGATCCTGCTGTCAATGCGTCGCTGGGTTTGGGCATACAAATACTAGGTGGCCTTGCAGACGACGCAGACGCAGCGTCAGAATCTGTGGCAGGCAGGCACCCTCTCTTTCTCCTCCTCGTCCTCCTTCTCCTCCCATCGCCCTCCTCACCTCCCCCAAGTATCAACAGGGCCGAGATTCCCCGAAGAAGAAGAAGCAGAAGAAGAAGCCCCTCCAAAACTGCATGTGGGATGCGGAGACACACACCGAAATGAGGTCTGAATTTGCATCCACAGTGGAGTATGTCCCACTCCTATCCGGGAACCTCCGCCTTGTTGGTAAGGCTCGATGATGATGATGATGATGACGACGATGATGCCTCACCAACAACAATAACAACAGCGACGACGACGACGACAAGGACGCACTGTTCACTGCCCGGCTACGAAGCCTATTCTCTCCCATGTGACTGAATATTCATCGCCATGGTCCCAGCTTCCTTGGGTATATAACTGGATATTCGATCTTGTCTGTTGCCCGTTCGAACCCTGTAGGTGACTGACTTGCATCTGAGTGAATGAGTGAGTGAGTGAGTGAGTGAGTGAAGGAGAATATGTTGTGTCTCTGTGTGTGGAGAGCGAAGCAGACAAACCCCTCCTCTGATCCCTCTTTCGGAGAGCTTGGGAGTGAATCCCCGCCTCCGGAATCGACCCATCCAATCTGTAAGATGCATCGATGGGGCGCACTTGACTTGGATAAGGATCCGTCGTCTTTTCTCTTTTCGTTTTATTTATTTATTTATTCTCCTCTTGAAAACAAACGCTGGACCGATCCGATCTAGTTGCAGATCAGGTGGCCTAATCGATGTCTAGATTCGCAAGGAATATGCGACTAGGAGGGTGGGGGGAGGTGATCGGAAGCGTCGTCGTGAACCTGCAGGGCAATGAACGGAACTGTCGATCTGAGGTTGTTGGATGGTGTCAGGCGATTGGTGATGACGGTGCTGTCGATTTGCCTGGTGTTGTTGTTGTTGTTGTGTGCACTGATTCGGCTTGCAGAGGGGACTTGCGCCCACTTTGTTTTCGGAGATGCATGTTGCAGTGGCAGAAACCGCTGCTGCTGTTCCTGTACTGGTAGTGGCCAAGATGTGAGGGGGGGAGGATTAGGGACTTGCGAGAGGCGATGGAGTCGGGGGGTTTAGGGGTCAAGGGGTTAGAGCGGGAAGGGTAAAAAGTAGGGCACCTGCACATTATTCGGCTATTACATTTTTTTAATGGCAATGGAATGAACCCAGCCACACCGTCTAAATAAGCATCGTTTCTAAATATGGGAAGATGGACCCCTGAAATCTTCGACCCAGATGGCCCTTCCACGTTTCATAGTATGAGAGCATGAAAGGCCAATCCGAATAGAGCGCCACCCCCCATTCGCTCGTTGTCCCTTCTGCCCCCGCGTTTCCAGTTGAGCGTTGTATGAGAAACTTCTGCGATTTGGGTTTCCTTCGTAATCCCCGTCGTCAAAATCATTGCCATCGAAATCCAGTGACAACGGTATCCAACAATAGTAAAAAATTAAATCTTCCGAATGGGAAGATTCATCAGGAAATTGAGTAGCGCAATTTAACACGTTTGCCTCGAAGGCCTAGTCATGGTGCGCAAGGCTGGATGGCAAGTTTCATTCTCGACATGAATCCTTGTCGACTAGCGCTTTTTTTAACTTTGTCTTTTTTTTTTTTTTTCTTTTTTTTTCCCTCCTTGATTTAATCTCTCGAAAAGTCTACACACGGATGGTTTGCCTGCCTGCCACTTCGCAGAGGAAAAGGTCGATCGGTCAACAGCCTTGCTGGATGAGTGACGTCTTTGTGGAATTACCACCTTGTCTGAGTACACACCATCGGAACGCACGTTTTACAGTAAAATCTGAATTCCCGGAAAACACACACAAATGTTTCAATATCACCAACAATAAAGCTTGAGAGAATCTTGTGGGTTGAACGAATTCGCCGATTAGACGAGGCACTTCAGGTAACTAGACAAGGGGTGTAAAATCCATTCCATAGAACTGAATCTACTTATTGGGAACGCCCCAAAGTGTCCACACCAGAATCTTTGACTTGGCTGAATCGAGGTGCACATTGTGGTGGCAAAGTTCAGGGGATTGAATATTTATCATGAATAGTGTTCCATGCCATGCCAATATTCTAATCGTGCACGTTGAATTGGTGAAGGACAGTCCCTTCAATTCATTGTTTTACTGTCTGTTTATTGCAATCACGAAGCAATTTGGTGTTGAACTAATGGTAATGTATGTGACGTGTACAAATGCCAAGAAAGTCTCTCATATTGGTTTGATTCCTGTTGTAAATAACTGAAACAATCCTCACTTTGGCCTAATTTGTTTTTACTAACACGATAAGTTACAGAGCAACTGTAATAACTCAGTATACTGTACTGTCAAGACATAATAATCCACAGTTTGATCATTTATAAAAATAAAAATAAAAAACATGTTGATTCAATACCTACCAGGTATTACAAAAGCAATAACAAGGGTATAAAAATCAAATATTGAACTAACCACTTGTTTCATGTTACGTCAACGCTTTGACTACACATGCATACACAAACACAAGCAAATAAGCAAACAAGCTCCGTGTTCAAACCTATAAAGAAAAAAATGTTGTCCACATATGTATTGATTTATATTTGTTGAATATATAATCTATTAAAGTAACAATGCTTCTTGTGGTCCTGAACGATGTCAATACAATCAGGGGGGGGGGATTTTCTTTAGTTCAGTCTAGTATTTTAAAAGATCAATTTTTTTTGTTTTGCTTTGTTTGTTTGTTTTCGGCGGTGATGAGTTGGTTGCCAGGAGTCACGAATGCACTTCCACCTGCCGAATTACCCTGCCCCCTCCCCTCCACCTTCAACTTTTCAACAGCAGAGACGAATGGGCCGCAATCTCATATCCTAAAGGCGCAAAACCTGCACCATAAACAGGACGGAGGGGCTGTCCAGCATTTGCATGATCTTCTGAACGCCACATCACCCTGTTTCCGGCTAAGCTCCCGATTCTCAGCGCCCTGTCAAAATATGTTCCTCACAGAGTGGGCAAAGTTCGGTGCCGGAGAGAGAGCGAGAGAGATGCAGCTCGTTGCTCCAATCGGAGAGTGCACCCTTGGTTGGGTCGTGTGAGCAGTGGAGGCAAGTTGACAATTCCATCGTGTCACCTTTTCGTGACCACCCTCAAAATCTAAACAACGCAAGAGAAGATGATCTGCTAATGGGAATTGCGCACGAGAGGGAGCGTTGGCAAAGCGCCTGCCAGTCTGGAGATTCTCCTGGGCCCCTCCCTCGCACACATCATTCAATGCTCCTCAGCACAGCAAGTGCAAGTCTTTCCCTCGCTAATTTCCCCATTTCATGAACGGCCAAGGAAAAACACCCCTTTCGCGGCTTGTACCTCCGATGAAAGTAGTCCACAAACATGGCAAGCCCCTTGGGGGCGTTTTTTTTTTGTTTTGTAAGTATGATCTCTAACTCGATTTGGCGGTGCCGAAATTAGCAGAGGGGATCGCTGGTAGTGGCGCTGTGGAAAACTCCACAAGCGCAGAGTTATCTCACACCCTTCTTTTAAACCCGATTTCGACTTCCAGTCAAGTTGCTCTCATCGTTCTAATACCTGTTCTTAACATTCGTTTGTTGCGCTCCCCACTTCCTCTCAGATCCGTCCCTTGTCCTTAAACGGCTCCGTATTCGCTGGTCTCAGGCGACGAACCTCCAGTAATGCTAATCAGCCAACCTTCAAATCTCGCACGAGACTTTTAAGTAAGTCTGCAGACGTGTCTAGAAATCGATGGTCCTGGACGCGGATGATGATACTCCAGCAGGCCGGTGTTAGATTTATTAATATATATTAGATAATTTATATTAGATAAATTAATACATGTTAGTAAATGTAAAATTACCTTTAAGTAGTTACGAAGTAGTTATGGAGAAGTTACAACTTAATATAATAGACACTTATCAATATGATGTAATCAAGTTATTTTATTAATATACTTCATGCTTTATTTTATCATTGTTAGTGTTCTTTCTCTCACAGGCGCTACTGTAGTAGCCTGGATCCGGAGCTGGATGTGGGCACTGGACCCGGAATCGGTGCAGTGCAGGTGGACGGTGTAAACTCACGATACCGGATACGTATAGATCGGAGTATCTGGCGGAGTATGTGGGTGGTGCTACTTGGCGTGAGAAATTGGCCGAACGACTGTTTACGTCGCTGCTGCTCCAGATTCTCTCTGATGATGACTGTAGTCCACTGGGTTAGTTTACCACTCACTCTGCAAGTGAGTCTCCAGAGCCTAAAGAGATAAAAAAGAAACACAGAAAGGAAGAAGGAAAGAAAGAAAAGTAATCGCTCCAGGCTTCTCCTTCAAATGGGGCATGGAAAAAACGGAATCTTCTTGTCTAGCTCGGTCGAGAAAGTCAGGCCAGATCCTCGCTTGGGTGCCTAGTGTACCCTTTTGTTTTTGTTTTTGGTTTTTTTGGTTTTTGCTTCTTTGCCCTTCTCTGAGCTTGCGCGTAGTCTTCACCCGGTGTCCCCTGAGATCTTAATTCCGCACGAAGGATCGTCACCTTGAGATTATGCAGATTAGTGTTGTGATTAGTTCCGGGTGGTGGTGCGTCAAGCGAGGTTCCTTGTTTCTGCGCCTTTGAGCCTGAGAATCCGGGGTAGCGAGTTGAAGGGAGACAGCCGCGGTCAATAGAGTTGGTGGGGTGGTGACGAAGAACGCAGCGAGAGAGAGAGGTTGCGGGGACGGAAGCGAAGAAAGAAAGAATTCGGAGTGGGCGAGGGTTATTTATTTATTTATTTATTTTTGAAGATCGGATTGCGAGAGTTTTGAGTTCTCTCGGGTGTCGCGTGGTGGGTGTGCTTTGTCAACCCCGTTTGCTGCGTTTCATTCAGGAGTCAGTCTCTTGAGAGAGAAGGATCAGGAGGCAGGGAAAGTGGAGCACCCGTTTCACTTTCGGGAGTTTCAGGTTGTTTCATTATGTGAATCTTTTTACTCGCGCATGGATTTTAGAATGATGCCGCAGAGATTTGGGTTTTGTCTACGGTGGCGGTGACTGGATTCGTGGCTAGGTTTGAATACCACTCTTTGGTTTCTATGGATCTGGGTTCATTGCATAGTCAGGAGAAGCAGGTGAAGTAATTTGGCGTAAAGGTTTGGCGCAAACCTGGCTTGGGAATCCAAAGCCAGACGCAGTAGGTATTCAAGTTCGTCATGAGCTGGCTTCCCTGAGAGCATCATGCTTTGAACTGGTTCTTGTCGCATTTACAATATCGAACGACTTTCGTTTTCCAGTGGAGTAAAATAATTTCTTTCTTGTGTTTGTTGGACTCGGATGCGCATCTTCAGGCAGGTTTCACAGCTTCAATCAATGTAGCAGGCAAGTCAAGCTCTTGGAGAATTTGGGGTGAGACTCTCGGTGGACAAGACTTAGACCATCAGTTTAGTTGGAAATTAAGCACCATGGCTCACGCGTCATATCGAAATACAGAAACTTAGGTGTGCATGAGCACCAGTCTTGAATTCAGGAAGTGATCTCCTCCCAAATTTTAGCTCATAGCTTTCCACCCATGCCAAGCCTCCAATGCCTTCTCAAATGCCACCCTTGCTCCCCAGTTTAGCTGCGCACCAGCAAGGCTATGACAGCAGCGGTAGCCCCCGAGCATCACCAGGTGTGTCGCAAGCTTTTCCACCGGCTGGTGCGCAGTTCGCTTCCCAGCCCTTTCTTCCGTCCTCCACAGCTGCACTTGGGGGTATCCAGTATCAGGTCTGCGGCGCTAATTCCACCCAGCAGCGAAGCTACTACTCGGTCGATACTGGCGGCGGATCTCCTTCTTCATGGCAATCTCCATCTCCTTATGCCGTCCATCCTCCATCCACCACTCCCGAGTACAATCCCCCGACCATGAGCAGACACACATCGTCTCACGTAGCACCGTCGTCCCAGCATAACATCCACCATGGATTGCCCTACGGGAGTGTGCAGGATAGATCTTCGCCATCGTTCCAGATTCCTTCCTTTCACAACCTCTCTGCGACTTTTTCACAACAGTGGTCCAGCAGTAATAGCCAGTGGGTAGGAGCAGAATCTCCCCAGTCGGATGTGCATTGGCCATCGGATGTCATGTCTATGGGGGTGTCGAGCCCATCAAGCGGGGGCAGCAGACCTGCAGCTCTCGCGCAGCTTAGTGCTCTTGTGCCAACAAGTGACAGTTGCTTGAATTTCCATTCTCCGCGCAGGGGAGTGGTAACGGCACCACCTGGTGATGGTGGAGGATTTCGCATGGTTGGGGCGAATGGTGTAATAGAATCCGATCTACAAATGGGGTATCAGGATACCGCTTCTGGAAGAGGCGGTGGATCTGCCGCCTCTTTGGGCCAGTATCCTGCTTCAGGACTTGGCATTCCTCCCAACACCGATGCTATCAGCCTTTGCGATCCTTTACATGTTAGTCCTCCTCCCATTATATGTATATTTTTCTCTGCTTGCATTTTATTCTCTTCTAGGGATCTGAGTTTCGAGAACATGAGTGTTTACACGTTTAGGGTGTAGAATTCAGAACTTTGTTTGCTACATTTGGGAAAGACAATCAAGAACGATGGCCGTGTAAGATCGCTTGGTGACAACCCGATGGGCATGGACTAAGCGTCACATTAGCATTGTTAGTTTTTGATCGGCGAAAGAAAATTCTTTTGAAATATCGTTGATGGTGATATATCTTGTCTGTGGTAATTCTCATCTTTTAGTAAATCAGTTTACAGCTTCTGTTGCACACATATCCGTTGCATTCATGAGTCAAGGTTTTCGAATTTTTCGACTACTCTCTGTTTTGTATAGCTGAACGTCGAGCTGGGCTTGAACCCCAGGGTCACTTACATAGCTTTTCATTTAGCACTTCTGACAGGACTATTATTATATGATCATTCTGTTCCCCTGTAGCAAGAATGAAATCAGTAGAGATATTAGCAAGTATTCGATATTGGGCTTTACTAGAACGGTTTGAGACTATATGTGCAGCAGTTTGGTCTAGTTATTATCTAAGATAATTGACTTCATGTATCCCTGCAGTAGTTAGCCAGGTTATGATAGTAATTTGTAGCTAAGAAATGGCTGAGAATCAAAGTTTGTTCTTGTAGCAGGTATTGCTTGAAGGAGCTTCTGACCAAAATATACCTCGTGACGGTGAGGGCTCCTCGCAGACAGCAGAAGCTTCAGTGAACATTTCTGACTGGACGGATCCTGAATGGATGGAGAACTTTTCTGACGCGTACAACGAGAACGGGCCGTTGGACACCAACAACCGACGAGTGAGATCACTGTGCCATGTGGTCTTGTAAGCTGTGACTTGTTTGTTCACAGAATTCTTTTTATGTATGAACGGTTAACGCAATCTTGGAAATTGACCAACGTTTTCAAATCTTCAAATCGCAGGTATTCCAACAACCAAAGAGGTTTCACCCACCACCTCGACTCATTCCTACAAAAGATTTACGAACTGAGCAGCAACATTCAGGTGCGTGCTTCTTCTCGCCTCTTTCACAACCCATTTCATGAAGCAGCTTTCTTAGCCCATCGTATGAACCATTTTCCATCAGATTTCTGTCTGTTTGTTTGCGAGCTTTGTCAAAGGTTACTAGCAGGTGGTTCTTAACTTGAAATTGGATAGAGTTAAGTTCATCCTGCAGTGGATAGATACTGTTTGAGCGTGACCAATGACACGCAAAAATCTCTAAAGTATGTATTGGGTTGGTTTTTGGTGTAGGTGCTGCTTCGGAGGGGAGTCCAGGTGCCTCAAGGAACTCTGCACCAGTTGGAGCAACTGCTTCATCATCAGCAGCAGCTTCAGCCGCCGAAGCAGCTTCTGTTAAAACTCGTCTACGATGGACTCCAGAACTTCACGACAAGTTTGTAGATGCTGTTGCACAATTGGGTGGCCCTGAACGTGAGTAGCTGCACAATCTCTTATCCTCAATGTCATTTCTTTTAGGTCTTTTAACAGGTGAAGTTCGTTCCTCATTTAAGTGTCTCCTACTGCAAGGAGCTTATTGCATTAGAGAGATCTGAGTTTTTGGAAAAAAGGGGGTTTATTTTGTTCATATACCGTATACACTGAGCAGGTGCAACACCGAAAGCTGTACTGCGTGTTATGGGCGTTAACGGGATCACCATCTACCACGTAAAGAGCCATTTACAGGTTAGTAGTTTGCACCAACGTACTTTAAATAGCCTTTTCTTTCACGTAACACCTTCAATTCAAGGATGGTCCTAAGCCAAGGCACGCAAGTTTTGATTCTAAACGCAAGTTTCCTAATGCGTCTGGTTTGTTACTCAAATGTATTGTTGTGCTAGTTCAGGTTTTTCTTTGAGTTTGAGGTTGGTCAGTGGTGCCAATTCTCATGGTCGTTCCTTCTTTTTGTACATGCAGAAGTACAGGCTTATCCCCGAGGCTTCTTCTGAAGGTATGCTCTCATAACTGAGAAAGTTACTAGATAGATCTAATACTAGATATCACTAAGAAAGCGAATACAGATCTCTGCTGAAGCGGACACTGCTTATGGATCTCTGACTGCTATTCTTCGGTGTGCAGATGCAAGAAATGATCGTAAACGAAATGATAATTCGCTGGGCCCCATGGATTTAACTTCGTAAGATTCTCCTCAAGTTATCATGTTTCGAGGGCCGTTAGTCAGTTACACCTTTTGGCTGTACGACAATCTGAGAGAACGCTCTATTGTTGTGAACCATCTGCGCATTAGAACTTTCGGTTGTAGACAGAAATCGAGAGACTTCTAGTTCATACTAGATATGTCTACGCTATAATTTGAAGACCTTCTGCAGATGATTCCATCATGGTGAGCACAGTTAGTTATATTTAACTAATTGCATGCCGTGTTGAAATTGCAGGAGCTTGCAAATGACTCAGGCCTTACAGATGCAGATGGAGGTGCAGAAGCGTCTGCATGAGCAACTGGAGGTACACTACATCCTCATGATTTACCTCGCGATGTGCGCTGTTTTCTTATATTTAATGTATGACGCAACATACTTCTAGAATATTTTCGACGTAGTAGGTCGACTTGAGTCTTTCGCTTAGTCGGAAACGCTTCTCTTTGTCGGAGCACAGATCCAAAGGGAACTTCAACTGCGAATTGAGGCTCAGGGGCAAAGCCTGAAGATGATGCTTGAAGCACAGGCAAAGGCTTCTGGAGGCTTCATCCCGAGGCCTGAGCTTTTCTGCAACGCCTCTCTTCCTGCTGTCGCGAGCGAAGTACCCAAGAGCCAGGTAGTGCCGGCGCAACCCTCCCAAGCATCAGAGACAGCGCCGCAGCAGAGCACAAATGGGAGCTCTCCAGTGCGAGAGACATCAGTCAAACGAGCTCGAGTCGAGGTCCCGAGTATGGTAATCGTTCCACAAGAGCAGTTCAGAGAGGCATACAACAAACAAGACGGTCCCAAGACGGGGCTTTTTCTTCACGGCTGCTCTGCTCCTCCTCGAGATTTCGCAGCGTCTTGTCAGTCTCCTCCTTCTCTTCCTCCTCCTCCTCAATTGAGCTTACCATCTCGACTACTACTTTCCATCAAGGGACATTCCACTGATCAGACAGACGGACCATCATCATCGACATCGGCACCACCACCACCACCACCCATTACTGACGACGATGGAGGTGGAGGAGCCACACCGCAATGGCACGATGCATCACCACAAGGGGGTTGCATGCTGCAGCAACCTGGCAGCATGACTTCAACAACAACATCCCTGCAAGCCTCTGTGTGAGAGGCTTGTCATGCCCAGTTCAGTGTTCTTTCATTGTCATCTTTCTCTGGTATAGCCTGCCCCCCCTTGAGTATACACAGGTCCGGAGGTCCTTCCTTCCCTGAGCATAATGCTACTCACGATTATTATTATTATTATTATTATTATCATTATTATTATTAATCTCTATGGCAGGAGGAGATCTCGTGACTAAGCACAACAACTCTGATGGTATAGATTACACGGTGAACGGAGAGAGAGAGAGATGGTTCAATATTCTTTGCTGCCACTTCTACAGGCAAGCAGATATATTTCTTGTTGGATCGCTAAAGTGGGTTATTCGGAAAAATCAGCAGCAGCATATGATGCCGAAAGCTTACTTAGATTACATGAAGTTGGGCAATTGCTCCTCTTTAGTCATTCCGGAGACAAGAAACAATGAGATCACCGCAACCTTCCCTGGTGCGGCGAATGTAAACATTTACTTCAGATCATGGTATTTATGCAACTTTATTTTCTTCTACTTTTGATGTTTTTGTGAAATTTATTTTTCTTCTAAATGATTGTTGTTTTTTTTAATCCTTGCGTTTTTTTATAGAGTATTTATGCCTCTTAGAATATCTTCTTAGTTTATTTATTTATTTATTTGTTTTCTTGTACATCTTCTACTTCTTTTTTAATTCTTTGTATTTAGATATGTCAACTGTTACTTTTTTAGCATAATAAAATGGTGTGCACTGTTAATGATTATGTCTATATTATATTATCATTTTTTTTTGTCTTAAATATATGCTCTAAGTGTTGAATATGGAATACAAGTTCAGTTTTTTTTTTTAATAATAGCCATTTTTTAAAACTTTATATAAACCTGTTTTGTTTTGGAATATATAGTGTGTAAAGTTGCCTTGTAATGTGACGTTTTTTAGGAGATTATCAAATTATCAAATCAAAGTATAAATTTACTTCTATTGTCCAATCTTAGAAAATTACTCTTGTAAGTTTGATTGTTTTTTTAAAAATATCAAAAATATTTAATTAGTTATTTCTTTAAATATTTTTAATTAATATTTTGATATTAAGCTTTTATATTTTAGTGTTTTTATTTGTTTTGAGTAAAACTCAAATAAAATAAAATAAAAGTTATAAAATATTCTACATATAGATACAAATTTTAATGATATTTCACATTAAAATAAAAAAAATTCTAAAATCTTATTAGTACATCTTACTCCATTATTTATAATCTTATTATTATTATTATTATTATTATTGTTATTAATATTCTTAGTGTTATGCTACTTTTACATGAAATGAACTATGACATTAATATTTAACTTGATGAAATTAATATGCCTTGACTACCATTCTATTTAAGGAAAATATCATTCATGCCCTTGAAATATGCTGAAATATTAAGAATATCTATGTATTCTGATAATAGCATATCCATCCCTCATTTTTGTGATAATTACAAATATATCCTTGGATGGTAATAAATTATATTCTATTTTGTTTTTAAAGATACATATAGGGTTCAAATTTTGATGTAACATTTTTCCTCAGTTTTGAGGCCCTAAGTGAAATGGACGCCCTTGCCACCATTGCTGTCACAAATTTTTTGGAATTGAACTATGGAGCACCAAGGTAGATTCAAGCACTAGTGTGGTCTTCTTTCTCTTATAAATTTACCCTCTTCTTATCTTTCTCATCATTGGCAAATTGCAAATTGCATGATAGATTAATGTCCAAGAACTACTTTTGCTTCAAGTTAGAACATATTTACTTTACACTACTTGACCTTGTATGAGATGTCGATTTGTTGGTTTTATTCGGTAAATCTCTTACAAGAGACTATCAATTATTTGCTTCTAGAGGTTGTAATCAACAAAAAATTCAGTCAAAGTTTTGTTTAGAGATAGATGATCATCTATGTCTACACATCTAATTATATTTTCTATATTGGTGTGGCCATTTTAGCAATGACAATAAGTGCAAGAGTGTCCATTGTGTGTAAGGTACCAAAATTTTAAAAAAGTACCATGCAAAAATTTGTATGTACAAGGTTTGGCCCCATAAGTACCTATAAAAAAGAGTTATAGCTTATCATTGTTCAGGAGTATATTTGTAATTATTACAAAAGTGAGAGATAGATATGCCATTATCAAGAATATAAGAATATATTTGATATTTCAACATATTTCACATACATGTATGATATTTTTACATAAATTTATACAAGAATAAAGACTACTCTGGTGCTTGAACCTACTTTAGTTCTATGTGGTTTAATTTTGGAAAATTTCCAATGGCAACAATGATGGAGGCATCTATTTTATTTGGAGTCTAAAAACTAAAAAAAGAATTGCAACAAAATGTGTGTGGCATGCAGTTAAATCTCATATTTAGCATATAATATTTTTTCATAAATTAATAGGAAGAAGAAGACTACTTTGATGTTCAAACCTACCTAGGTGCTCTGTGGTTCACTTTTGCAAATTTTGTGATAGTAATAGCAACATTAGCATCTATTTTGTATAGGAACCAAAAATAAAAAAAAAATGCCTCACCAAAATTTGTGCAACACACAGTTAGATTCCATATAAAAGTAAAAGAGGTAGAAGGTTATAGCTTATCAACATTCAAGAATATATTTGTAATTATGACAAAAATAAGGAATAGATATGCTATTATAAAGAATATAGAAATATTCTTATTATTATAATATATTTCGAAGATATGTATGATATTTTGCATAAATATTTTAGGAGAAAGAAAACTACTTCAATGTTTAAACGTACCTTGGTCTTTTGTGGGTTAGTTCTAAAAATTTTACAACAGTAGTAATAGTAAGGGTATCTATTTTGTGCACAGCTCAAAAATTGATATAAAATGCTGCTCCAAAATCTATATGGCATTCATTTAGACTCTATATGTATCTAAATTAAGTAAAAGATTAAAGCTTATCAACATCCAAGGATATATTTATAATTATCACAAAAGTAAGAAATAAATATACTATTATCAAGAGTATAAAGATATTCTTATTATTTTAGCATATTTAAGAGGCATGTATGATATTTTTTGAAAATTTATAAGATGGAGAAGACTATTCTAAAGCTCAAACCTACCCTAGTACTTTATGGTTGAGTTCCAAAACTTTTGCAATGGCACCAAAAACAAAGGTATTTATATTGCTCAAGGCCATAAAACTAAGGATTATTGCCATGCAAAAATGTACATGGCATGCATTTGGGCCTAATTTATAATTAAAAAAAGTAGCCATAACTTATCATTATATAAGGATATATTTGTAATTATCAAAAAATTGATGAGTAGATATGCTATCAAAAAGAATATGAAGGTATTTTTGATATTTTAGCATATTTCATGGAAATTTTGCACCAGTAATGGCGGAGCAGGCATCTATTTTGTATAGGGCCTAAAAATTGAAGAAAGATGTTGGACTAAAATCTATGCAGTATGCTTTGGACCTTAGATGCATGTAAAAAAATAAAAACATTATAGCTTATTACCGTCTAAAGATCTATTTATAATTATCACAATAATAATAAATAAATATGATATTATAAAGAATATAAAAGAACTCTTGATATTTGAGCATATTTTGTGGATATGTGTGATATTTTTGCATAAATTTATACAAAAAAAGAAGATATTTTAGTACTCAAATCTACTTGGGTGCTATGTGGTTTAATTCCAAAATTTTTGTAATACCAATGGCAATAAGGGCATCTATCTTATATAAGGCCTTAAAATTGAAAAAAAAAGTGTTTGCTAAAATCTACATGACACTTTGTTGGAATTTAGATATACCTAAAAAAAAAAATAATATTATAGCTTAATACCATACAAGAACATATTTGTAATTATTATAATAGTAAAAAATAAATATGCTATTAAAAAGAATATAAGAAAATTCTTGATATTTTAGCATATTTTATGGACATATGTGATATTTTTGCATAAATTTATAGGAGAAAGAAAACCATTCCAAAGCTCAAACCTTGCTAGTTCTTTGTGGTTCACTTTTACAAATTTTGTAATGGTAGCATCTATTTCTCACAAGGCTCAAAAATTGAACTAAAGTGCCTCAATAAAATTTTTGCAACATGCAATTGACCTACATTTGTAGTTGGAAAAACTAATATATATATATATATATATATATATATATATATATATATTACTATCCAAGAATATATTTGTAATTATAAAAAAGTTAGGGATAGATATATTATAATAAAAAATATAAAGATATTCTTGATATTTTATCATATTTCAAGAATATGTATGATATTTTACCAATAAAAATAGCAAAGGTGTCCATTTTATGTAAGGCCAAAAAACTAAAAAAATTTCTTATGCCAAAATATATACAATACATGATTAAGTTTTAAATATAATTAAGAAAATAATGGAATTTAGTTTATCACTATCTAAAAATATATTTATAATTATCACAAAAATAAAAGCTAGATATGCTATTATTTGTCAAGAACATGAATATCAAAAAATTAGAAGATCAATTTATCCTTGTGTCACTTGAAAAGACTTTACAATTACTTAAAGATGGTATAATATTAATCTAGAATGTCTATTGCCAAAGATAAAAGAAAACTACATTTTTTTGAATTAAAATTAAGAATAAGGAAGGCATTAAGAAGAATGAAGAAGGCTTCATTCTAATCCCCATATATACTATCTAACTAAGAGCTATGTGGCAATATTTTAAAGGACTTCCAACACATGTCTTAACTTGGAAGGGAAGTTTTCTATATATATGCCACATAATTAGCTTGTATCACAAGCTATCAATACATGGAACATGTGATTAACTAATTGACTAAGTTTCTAACATATCAATTAATTATAAATATGTAAAAATTCAAAGTCATATCTATAAAGCTTTTCAATAAGATATTATCAAACTTATTTATTTTAATATATTTCTACCTATTTATATTATTTAAAAAATTATTAAACTTAATATGTATGCCCATGATATTACTCTCTTTTAAAGATGAGTTCCACAAAGAAGGGTGATTACATATTGATATGGTGGTTCAATGTGATCCTTATTGTAGAGATACAAAATTGGTCTCTATTATTTTTTTTCATTAATTTTTTAAAATGTAGCCATAAATAACTATAAGAATGAGTTAAAGTTATAAAATAATTATAAATTATTTTTTTATCAAAGGTAAAAACTAAGAGAGAGCACTTTGACATGAAAGTGCATTTAAGAATCCATCTTAAGTAAATCCATCAAGATATTGAGAAAGATGCAACGTTAGATAAAGCTTCACTTGTAGAAATTCTCAATAATTTGATCTTGTTCTATTAAACTTCTTTCACATACTTATCCTTGCTTCTTTTATACTTGTAGTAGCAAGATTTTTTAGATTTATTTATAAATTTGATCTACTTGCTTCTCACAATTATAAAAAATCTTGGTGTAGACTTTAAATTTATTGTTGACTTCTTCCATATGCATCAAAATAC